TATTTTTTTCAAGCCTCAAAAATAGGCGTGGATTTTGTTTTAATATTTTTTTCAAAGGCGTGGATTTTGTTTTAATATTTTTTTCAAAGGCGTGGATTTTTTTAAATATACTTTTTTTAAGCCTCAACAACAGGCGTGGATTTTTTTAAAATATTTTTTTCAAGCCTCAACAATAGGCGTAAATTTTTTTAAAATATTTTTTTCAAGCCTCAACAATAGGCGTGGATTTTTTTAAAATATTTTTTTCAAGCCTCAACAATAGGCGTGGATTTTTTTAAAATATTTTTTTCAAGCCTCAACAATAGGCGTGGATTTTTTTAAAATATTTTTTTAAGCCTCAACAATAGGCATGGATTTTTTTAAAATATTTTTTTCAAGCCTCAAAAAATAGGCGTGGATTTTTTTTAAATATTTTTTTCAAGCCTCAACAATAGGCGTGGATTTTTTTTAAATATTTTTTTCAAGCCTCAACAATAGGCGTGGATTTTTTTAAATATTTTTTTTAAAGCCTCAACAATAGGCGTGGCTTTTTTTAAAATATTTTTTTTCAAGCCTCAACCATAGGCGTGGATTTTTTAAATATTTTTTTTTTTCAAGCCTCGTAGTCTCCTGTCCGCAAACTTAGTTATTTGTGGTATTTTGAATGTTCACCTCATGGGGGAGGGTATAAAAAGTTCGGGACACCCGAACTTAACAAATTGTTTATTTGTTTTGTTTTCTTATTTTATTCAAAAAAATCCGTCGTCAAGAGTTTTACCCCCCCGTTAACATTTATATGTATTTATGTATGTATTTAAATTATCCGGATTTACTGCTGCCTCACATCATTTGCAACTCACATCAAAACTATGCTAATATCTGTTCAAAATTTTGTCACTTTCTCAGGTCAATTTGAATGGGAAAACAATAAAAGAAATCACGTTTTGCTATTTGAAATCTTTATTCAAATATGCATAAATATTCATTATAAAAAGACTTACATGCCTACATATATTTCTTGAAAAGGCATTATATAACCTATTTTTTTTTTTTTCTTTTCTGAATTGTTAAATATTTGATTACCAGCGTCATAGACCTCATTGATAGTTTAACGAATAATTTATAATTTATGAAAAATAAACTGTATCCCAATTCCGGCCACAGCCTATTCGGTGAACAAGTAACAAGTCAATTTACATTAAAATGTGATCTAATTCGCATAAGTCGTTTACGGATTATATTAACAAACATTTTCAACTTTGACTTGAAGATTTTCTATAAAAACAAAAAATGCAGCATCGTTTCGTTTCAGTTTTAAAAGTATTGAGCTAAATAACGGTTTATAGTGAGATTTTTCGATAAAAAAAGTGTCTCTTTTAGTTCGATAACAATGGTGTCGCACAGTACCTTACTTAAGAAAATATATTTGTTATTGCCGTTCGCATATCCTAACCTTAATCAAAACGGTAATAAAGTGTTTGATATTATTTACAATAAATATATAAAAATAAAAATATATATTAATTGTGTCAGGTGTAAACTAATAATAAGAATAATATTATTAAACAAGGAAAAACGTCATTAAGGCCCGGGCGAACATTCTATACCCTCAACCAAAAGGTGTACATTTCAAATACCTGTAAAGATTTGTTACCTACTGTAGATTCAAAATATCATATTACTCCCGTTTGATTGAAAAACGTGTCCAAAATCCCCAAATGTCCAAGAAACAATGCTGATCAATTTTGGTGGGAGATCTGCTACCCAATGAGTATTAAAATTTCCAAATAATAGTTAATTCTGTTGAAAATCGTGCCCAAAAACCTTATGATGGAGGAGTATAACAAGACAAATTGTCGTTAAGTTCAGCAACGCCAAGAGGCCTGGTTTACGCCACCCCCTATTTTGCGCTCTACAATTGAAGTACAGTTAGAAAACAATAGCTTAGGATTTTGTCTCCCTAGGCTTCTAAGAATTCTGCGATCTTAGTGAAGTCCTACAGTCCATTTTTCATTCACATCCCTTAGATCGACTATTTCATGAATAGTATTATTCCCCACAAATTGAGTTCGAAGGCTTGGAAAAGTGCACCTGAGCAAGATTTTCCATTGAAAGCCTTATCAAACCGGTCACAAGCTGATCGCTCTCTTGGTTATGCTCTCTATGAAAACGGTTCTTCCAGCTGTGTTGCTTTTCCTCAAGCATGTGGTTTGCCTTAAATTCGCTGCGCCAACCTCAGACGAAAACTGGGCCAGAATTGACATTGAAAGGCCTACCACAATCTGAGCGTCTTCTTCTTTGTGCTCCTTATGAAACACTTCACACTTCCCAAGAATGGGATTCGAAGGTTTGCAAAAGCTGCACCGGAGTTAGACTTGCCATTGAAAGGCGATCTTTCAGCCATTTTCGTTCTGCGTTCTGAAAGACTTTCCACTTCATCACCAGCAGTGTCTTGTTCTGTATACCGAAGAGTTCGAGTATGTGTTCAGACATGATTTATCTACACGAAACTCATACGAAGACTGAGCCAGACTTGGTATTGAAAGGCCGACCACAAGCTTGAGCGCCCACTTCTTTCTGTTCCATATGAAGGACTTACCACCTCCCAAGAATTGGGCTGGAAGGCTTGCCAAAGGTGGACCTGATTCGAAGGTTTGCAAAAGCTGCACCAGAGTTAGACTTGTCATTGAAAGGCCATCTTTCAGCCATCTTCGTTCTGCGTTCTGAAAGACTTTCCACTTCATCACCAGCAGTGTCTTGCTCTGTATACCGAAGAGTTCGAGTATGTGTTCAGACGTGATTTATCTGCACGAAACTCATATGAAGACTGATCCAGATTTGTTATGGAAAGGCCTACCACAAGCGGAGCGCTCACTTCGTTCCACTCACTATAAAGGATTTATTACCTCCCAAGAATTGGGTTCGAAGGCTTGCCAAACGTGGACCTGAACCAGATTTGCCATTGAGGTCCTTTCCAAGGCTACCATAAACTGAGCGCCCTCTTCGCTCAGGTCCCTATGAAAAACGTCCCACATTTTCTCCAGCAGGGTCTTGTTCTGTATACCGAAGAGTTCGAGTATGTGTTCAGACGTGATTTATCTACACGAAACTCATACGAAGACTGATCCAGACTTGCTATTGAAAGGCCTACCACAAGCGGAGCGCTCACTTCTTTCTGTTCCCTATAAAGGACTTACCACCTCCCACGAATTGGGAAGGCTTGCCAAAGGTGGACCTGAGCCAGATTTGCAATTGAGGACCTTTCCAAGCCTAACACAGGCTAATCGCCGTCTACGATCTGCTCCCTATAAAAGACAAAAGACATTGTCTTTTGATCTTTATGCAAAAGACTTCAAGCATGCGTTCTGTCATGATATCGCTGTGTCAACCTCACACGAAATCCATATACTGAGTCAGATTTGCCATAGAATGACTTACCACAAGCTGAGCGCCCTCTTCATTCTGCTCCCTATGAAATGCTTCCCACTTCTTCAGCAGTGTCTTTTTCTGAATGCCGAAGACTTCAAGCATGTGTTCTGTCATGAATTCGCTCCGCCAACTACAGACGAATACCAAATACCGAACCGGATTAGCCATTGAAAAAAAGCCAGCACCTAAGCCAGCCACGCCATCGATATCGAAGACTGAGCCATATTTGCCATTGAAAAGCCTACCACAAACTGAGCGCCCTTTTCATTGTGCTCCTCATGAAAAACTTCCCAAGAATAGGGTTCGAAGGCATACAAAAGCTGCACCTGAGCTAGACTTTCCATTGAAGACTTTCCCAAGCCGACTTGTTATGTATACAGAGGACTAAGATGCTTAAATTATTCTGTCATGAATTCGCTGCGCCAACCTCAAGCTAAGTCCGATTTGCCATTGTAAGGCCTACTACAAGCTGAGCGCCCTCTTCGTTGTGATCATGGCCCAATAAATAGATCGTGTAAGAAGCGAATACAATCGATAATTTTGCTACAAAATCTCTCAAACTGTCAAATTTGTTGTTTACGTTTTCATTCGATTAAGTCAAAACGAAAGCATTTCGACAGTTCGGGTGAAATCATTCTTCCCACTTCCCAAGAATTGGGTTCAAAGGCTTGTAAAGCTGCACCACTTCCAATAATTGGGTCCAAAGGCTTGTAAAGCTGCACCTGAGCCAGATTTGCTACTGAAAGGCCTACCACTAGCTGTCTTCGTTCTGCTCCTTATAGAAGACTTCACACCAGTAGTGTCTTCTTTTCTGTTTGCTGAAGACTTCGAGTATGCATTCAGACGTATAATCGCTGCGCGAACCTTTTTTAATTGAGAAATGTCTATTTTCTTAACAAGCTTGAGTTTCATTGTTTTGCAAGTGGGAACAATGTTTTCCATAGTTTGCTAAGAATTTCCATGTTATTTGAGAACCCAAATTGAAGAGGCAGCTGTCAATCATGCAGAAGCAGGTGCTCCATGATCTAATTATTGACCACACTTATCACCTCCTTATGGGTCTTCTTTCTTTAAATTTACTGGTCGGTTCCTTACCAATTGTGTTCTATCCGAGGAAGTGGAGGTATGGTCGGACTTATCCTTACCCTCAGTTTGCAGCACGCAATTATTCCTACGTTTAGTCTTAACCATTTTTCACTTTTGTGCTCTGGATAGCTGATTTTTTAAAGAATATTTTTGAATATTATCCCCCTTAAATCGATGTGCAAATTTCTTACATCAAGTGCTACATTATCTTATTATGGACCGCCTCTATCACTTCCTCCTTCATGGCAGAGCTCTTTTCTGTAGAGCCACTTGGCAACCTTCGCTTGAGACGGCGGCTCCTTACCAATTGCGATCTGTTCGAGAAAGTGGAGGAATAGTGGGACTTATGTTTTTACTTATTTTACTGTTTGCAATTATTTCTCCGTTTCCTTGTGGTGTCTTTGACCCCTTCATCTACCATATTCTCAGTCTCTTCACAACTCTTGCCCCACTAAAACGGTGGTATTCTTAGTTTCGTGTTTAGTCTCAGACTTTTAGTTCCCGCCTGTCACAGAAGGTTGGGTCGAGATTGCTCGTCCCCTTTCTTCACATTTAGTTTTGTCTTTTGGCAGCGTGCTTGTAGCGAAAGCCTCAAATACAGTACACCAATACCAATACACCACATCTTTATGAGATATTTACCAAGATCTCAGGATGCTGACCGGGCGTCACTCATGGGTAGATCAACGACACTTGTCGGTATTAAGTTAGTTAGGCTGTGAACCTTGATATTTATACCCTTCACCACACTGTGGTACAGGGTATTATGTCTTTGTGCATATGTTTGTAACAGGCAAAAGGAAACGAGATAGACACATGTTTCCTTTTGAGAATATGCATAGAATCACTTTCTAAGTCGATTTAACAATGTCCGTCCGTCTGTCTGTCTGTCCATCTATTTTTGTGAGCAAAGTACAGGTCGCATTTATGATCCGAATTGGATGAAATTTGGCACAGCTCATTTGTTTGGCCCAAGGACGAACCCTATTGAAATTGGGAAAAATCGGTTCAGATTTAGATATAGCTCCCATATATATATTTAACCGATTTAATGTAAACGGTCCCTATATATCTTTCGATTTGCACGAAATTTGGTACAGCCTAATCATTTAGGTCTAGAATGATGTCTGCCAAGTTTCGTGAAAATCAGTCAAGATTTAGATATAGCTCCCATATATAGTTTCGTCCGATTTCATGTAAATGGTGCCCCAAAGTCCCTATATATCTTTCGATTTGCACGAAATTTGGCATAACGTATTGAATTAATCCTAGAGTGATGTCTGCCAAGTTTCGAGAATATCGGTCCATATTTAGATATATCTCCCATATATAGTTTCGCCCGATTTCATGTAAATGGTGCACCAAAGTCCCTATATATCCTTCGATTTGCACGAAATTTGGCATAACATACTGACTTGAGCCTAGAATGATGTCTGCCAAGTTTCGAGAAAATCGGTCCAGATTTAGATATAGCTCCCATATATAGTTTCGTCCGATTTTATGTAAATGGTGCACCAAAGTCCCTATATATCCTTCGATTTGCACTAAATTTTGCACAACGTACTGAATTGAGCCTAGAATGATGTCTGCCAAGTTTAGAGAAAATCGGTCCAGATTTAGATATAGCTCCCATATATAGTTTCGTCCGATTTTATGTAAATGGTGCACCAAAGTCCCTATATATCCTTCGATTTGCACTAAATTTAGCACAACGTACTGAATTCAGCCTAGAATGATGTCTGCCGAGTTTAGAGAAAATCGGTCCAGATTTAGATATAGCTCCCATATATAGTTTCGTCCGATTTTATGTAAATGGTGCACCAAAGTCCTTCGATTTGCACTAAATTTGGCACAACGTACTGAATTGAGCCTACAGTGATGTCTGCCTTGTTTCGTGAAAATCGGCCTAGATTTAGATATAGCTCCCTTTTATTATAGATTGATTTTAAGTAATTGACGCACCAAGGAACCAATAGGAATAAAACGTTCCGAAATTAGTATAACCTAACCTGTGACAAGTTTGTTTGAAATCGCTTAATATTTGGATAAAGCTTCCATATATATTTTCGCCCGATTTCAAGTAAATTGGGCATCAAACTGCTCATGTTAGTCAGATTGACATCAAATTTTGCACAACTTACAAAATTGAGCATAGAATTACGTAGTTGCGTTTTCTAAAAGTACAGATATAGCCCAACGGATGACCTATTTATATTTGTTTGAAGTCGATTTACATACTTTTGTCCCATTGTAACAAACGAATGGCATGTTTATGGATAGATCTAGGTGGATTCACATTTAGATAAATATCACATATTTTATTTCATCCAATTTCATGTTAATAGTCCTGTTTAATATACCCATAGTGGTGAAGGGTATCATATAGTCGGCCCCGTCCGACTTTACTACTTGCCTTACTGGTTTTCTTCTTATATCCTTCCATATTTGAAAGGCATTTAAAATACATGTAATTGTTCGGTACCTTTATATATCTAGTTAACAGGTGGAACAAGTTCCATAATATAGATCATTTGCTCCATATTGTTCTGACTTCTAGATAGTTACTTTGTATCGCTCTCTTTTGTGGTTATTTTTGTTTTTTTTTTTCGCTCATATAGTTCCGTGTTGGAGCTCTTAGTAAGTAGTTCAATTTCCAAATTAATTATATGAAGTTCCCTACCATATTAATTTTGTTTTAAATGTACACCTCATGGTAGAAGGTATATGGGCTATTCGCTTTCCATAGTTCCCAATAAAACCAATAAGTATTAGATTTAATTAATGGTCCCCTTTCAATTGGGCGCCATATTATTTTTTTAATTTAATGCTTTTTATTAATTTGTTAATTTATGTTTTTTTATTTCCCAATACATTGCATTCTAATAAATATTCAATTTCCTCTAACGAAGTAGCGGATATAACTAATCGAAATTAAAATTAATTCATTTTAGGGCAATCTGGCACCTCAAATGCTGAATGGTCATATGCCGATACGAATTGGGGTACAAATTATCCCCAATGTAACGGTAATCGCCAATCACCAATACACATACAGTCACAAAATGTAAGTCGCATAAATTTGTAGCTATTTTTTTATGTTTATGTTTATGTTTATATTATATGAGAGTTGATTTATTTTGTGTTACTTTTTTATTACAAATTCATCAATTTCATATAAAAACAAAAATAGACTCGGCATTTTATGACTTTTTTATATATTATATGAGAGTTGATTTATTTTGTGTTACTTTTTTATTACAAATTCATCAATTTCATATAAAAACAAAAATAGACTCGGCATTTTATGACTTTTTTTGGTAGAAAGTCATAAATTATTTAAATATTTATTAGATGAAGGTCAAGGTGGTTATGGTGATACTCTAAACGATGAAATGATTACTTTTTATATTTTATGGGTAACTAATTAGAAAATAAAATCGGATACACTCCAAAAAAATAAAAATAAAAAAATAAACAAAAAAAAAAAAACAATGAAGAAGATGCCGACAGATAGGGAAATAAAATATTATTAAAATATTATTAATATATTATATATATATTGATGGCTTTCTTTATGAGTTTTAACATATATATTTATTAAATATATAACATTGCTATAAGCGTGATTTTTTTAGAGAAATTTTCTAAAGGATCACATGACCAATAGGCGTGGATTTTTAAAAGAAATTTTCTAAAGGACCACATGACCAATAGGCGTGGATTTTTAAAAGAAATTTTCAAAAGGATCACATGACCAATAGGCGTGGTTTTGTAAAAGAAATTTTCTAAAGGATCACATGACCAATAGGCGTGGATTTTTAAAAGAAATTTTCTAAAGGATCACGTGACCAATAGGCGTGGATTTTTAAAAGAAATTTTCTAAAGGACCAGTAGAACCAATAGGCGTGGATTTTTAAAAGACATTTTCTAAAGGACCAGTAGAACCAATAGGCGTGGATTTTTAAAAGAAATTTTCTAAAGGATCACATGACCAATGGGCGTGGATTTTTAAAAGAAATTTTCTAAAGGATCACATGACCAATAGGCGTGGATTTTTAAAAGAAATTTTCTAAAGGATCACATGACCAATAGGCGTGGATTTTTAAAAGAAATTTTCTAAAGGATCACATGACCAATAGGCGTGGATTTTTAAAAGAAATTTTCTAAAGGATCACATGACCAATAGGCGTGGATTTTTAAAAGAAATTTTCTAAAGGATCACATGACCAATAGGCGTGGATTTTTAAAAGAAATTTTCTAAAGGATCACATGACCAATAGGCGTGGATTTTTAAAAGAAATTTTCTAAATGTTCACATGACCAATAGGCGTGGATTTTTAAAAGAAATTTTCTAAAGGATCACATGACCAATAGGCGTGGATTTTTAAAAGAAATTTTCTAAAGGATCACATGACCAATAGGCGTGGATTTTTAAAAGAAATTTTCTAAAGGATCACATGACCAATAGGCGTGGATTTTTAAAAGAAATTTTCTAAATGATCACATGACCAATGGGCGTGGATTTTTAAAAGAAATTTTCTAAAGGATCACATGACCAATAGGCGTTGATTTTTAAAAGAAATTTTCTAAAGGATCACATGACCAATAGGCGTGGATTTTTAAAAGAAATTTTCTAAACGAACACATGACCAATAGGCGTGGATTTTTAAAGGAAATTTTCTAAACGAACACATGACCAATAGGCGTGGATTTTTAAAAGAAATTTTCTAAACGAACACATGACCAATAGGCGTGGATTTTTAAAAGAAATTTTCTAAACGAACACATGACCAATAGGCGTGGATTTTTAAAAGAAATTTTCTAAACGAACACATGACCAATAGACGTGGATTTTTAAAAGAAATTTTCTAAAGGATCACATTACCAATAGGCGTGGATTTTTAAAAGAAATTTTCTAAAAGGATCACATGAGCAATAGGCTTGGATTTTAAAAAGAAATTTTCTAAAGGATCACATGACCAATAGGCGTGGATATTTAAAGAATATTTTCCAAGGACTTGCGGACCATAAGGCGTGGATTTTTTAGCAGACCAATAGGCGTGGATATTTTAAAGAATATTTTTTCAAGCACTAGCAGACCAATAGGCGTGGATTTTTAAAAGAAATTTTCAAAGGATAATATCTAATATAATATATATTTTTATTGCAGACATACCTATTGCCAACAAAGCCATTAAGGTTTAAAAATTACGATATACCTCTGCTGGGTCCCATTGAGCTCACTAATAATGGTCACTCAGGTGAGCGTCATATACACATGCATTCATATAAACATTTAATAATTTTGAAAATCTTATTTCCAGTTGAATTTTCGGTAACCGAAACAGTAGATGGTCGCATACCCACTATTACTGGTGGCATTCTGAAAGGAACCTACGAGGCGGTGGGTGTACATTTCCACTGGGGTGGTCCCGGCAGCAAAGGTTCCGAACATATTATTGATGGCCGGCAATTTGATGTTGAAATGCATATTGTCCATAGGAAAACTACCTTCGCCACTATGGAAGAAGCCACCCAGTCGCCATATGGAATTGTAGTTTTGGGTGTAATGTTCAAGGCGGTTCAGGTAGGTTGCGCAGATATTTTAAATTTACAATTTAAAGAATTCCATTAAGAGTTATTCGACAAACTGCAATATTAAAAAACATCAACACACATTTGAATTGAATACCGCAGCGATTTCTATATAATACCTGCCTAGCTCCAAAAAGTATATATTTTAAAGCATACTTTTAGGCATTTCTCATACAACCTCAAACCATATGAAATTTTATTATAATATTTTTATCTAAAAATTTATTTTCTTTCTCCCCAGAATCCCGATCGTTATTATCCCGGCTTAAATAGAATCTTCAATAAATTATCAAATGTCGAAACGTACGGCTCATCGACATTCCTCGATGGTTCAATATCATTGGGTCAATTATTGGGTGATTTAAATACGAAAAATTTCTTCACCTATAAAGGTTCGTTGACAACGCCCGGCTGTTCGGAGGCTGTATTGTGGCATGTCTTCCCCGACCCTATGCCAATTGCTCAAGAACATATAGAGAAATTTTGGACTCTAACCGATTCAAATGGTCAACCGTTGACAAATAACTTTAGACCAACACAAGACTTAAATGGTCGTAAGATCTTTTATCGGGTAGGATTTAAAGCAATTTAATAAGTTAAATGAGATTTAGTGAATTATGTGTTCATAAGTTATTTATTTAAAATATTTATTTATTATTAAAATTAGATAAACAAATTATTTATTTATTATGTACAAACATTAATTGAAATTAAAATTTACAAATTGAAAAGAAAAATGAAATACGTGTGAGTATTATTTTAATATTATTTATATTAGGTTGGGGAAAAATAAATCCATTATTTGTATATGAACTATAGGACTTTATTTAACATGCTTCTGAATGTCCGATTTGGGCCAAATATGCACCGTTTTGTTGTATGATTTGTTGCCATTTTAAAGGTAACTTCATAATGCCTCTCTAATAGAAGTCCTGCTCTCTATTTTCAAAAAACTCTAGTAGTCGATTTTCACAGTCCTCCTCGATACCACTTTTTCATCATTAAAGTAATTTTGCAATGCAAGAAAAGTCACTATAGATGAGTGTGGCCTAGCCTGGTGGAACACGACACCTCGCCAATTGGCCAATTCTGGCCGTTTCTGGTCAATTGCCATCTTCAAACGGTCCAGTTGTTGACAGTAAAGCATTTAGCATTTGGCCATATGAAAGCAACTCATAATAAATAATCCCCTTCCAGTCCCACCAAATGCATAACAGAAACATCCTGGCCGTTAGTTCTGATGTGGTCACCATTTGTAAATTGACTATTATTAAGGTTTTTATTTGGGAAAATGATACCAAATTAGGAACTTCAACGTACGGAAAATTAAGCGCGGCCTTTCTATGGGAGACATGTAGAAACATGTATCTTTACTTCTTAAAATAATACCAATTCAGAGCTTTCACACAAACGAACAAGAGCCGGTATTAGATGGGGCTTTTTAAAAATACTGACATTTTCTATTTTAAATTTTGAGAACAGAAGATAGTTGCTAGAGACCAGGACCTGGAAAATCATCGTATGCGCAAGGAAATGAATATCGAATGTGGCTATTCTTACGATTTCGAATTTCATGCGGTCCAATAACACGGTCTGTAATTTGATATTTAATTTTCACCTGATAGTTATTTACTGCGCAATAGAACCCATCTAAAAGTCTTGATCGCTTTTAGGTATTTTGGGTGTGCACCTCATGAAAGAGGGTTCGAACGAATATAACGACGTTTTTGATTGTTTTTTTTTTACGAAAATAAAAAAGAGTTATAGTGTCACCCGTTCAGGCGTCAGTTCACCTGAAGACGATTTGTAAACCCTTCACCTCACTGTGGTACAGGGTATTAGGTCACCACTGGCCCAAGGACGAACCCTATTGAAATATATATTTTAGTCCGATTTTCGTAAGTGGTGCACAAAAGAGTGTATGTTTTTCGATTTCCACGAAATTTGGCAGAGGGTATTGAATTAAGTTTAGAATGACGTGTATTAGGATTTTAAAATTGGTTCACATTTCCCCATATATATTTTCGTCCGATTTTATGCAAATTGTGCACCGAAGAGCCTACAAATAGATGACTATAGGTGATGTGGTATCTAGTAATCTATGGATGTTCTTCTGTGGACAGAAGGCTGTGATTTTAAGGATAAATGGTTCTCCTTCTATGGATAAAAACGGTCTAACTATGGATAGCAGTTGTATAAAAAGTTCGGTTATAATAATATCACCTGTTGTGAGCTTCTTTTTATAGAAAAAAGAACGCCTTTCTTTTATGGAAAGGATAGTCTTATCCTTCTATGGGTATAAGACTGCGTTTCTACGATTTTAAGGGTGGACTTTTTAGAGGATGTTGTGCTATGTATAAAATAACGACCTTATTTGGATCTGAGATTCTACAGATAAAGAGATGAAAGACGATTAACACGATATTTTGAAAAGCTTATTGAATTAGGTTCAGATGTATGCGAAGTTTTGTTGAAGTCGGATCAGATATATTTTAGTCCGATTTTATGTAAATGGTGCACCAAAGACCGAAAGTTAGGCCGATTGAACAAACATTTTGCACAGATTTATGTATGAAAAGTTTTGTTGAAAACGTATCAGATTTAGATATAGCTCCTATATATATTTCAGTCCGATTTTCAGTAAATCGTGCAACAAAGACCCAAAGTTAGTTTGATTGGTGCAGAATTTTGCACAGCGTACTGAAGTTAGTGTAGTCTAACGTGTGTCAAGTTTTGTTGAAATCGGATCAGATTCAGATATAGCTCCCATATATATAATTTCGTCCGATTTTATATAAATGGTGCACCATAGACTTAAAGTTAGGCCGATTGCCACACAATTTTGCACAACATACTGAAGTTAGTATAACCTAACGTGTGAACAACAGTGCCATTGCGAACGGTTTTGTTTAGATATAGCCCCCAAAGAGACAAAGTTAGGCCGATTGGCACAACACTTTGCACAACGTACTGAAGTTAGTCTAGTCTGACGTATGTTAAGTTTTGTTGGAATCGGTTCAGATTTTGATATAGCTCCCATTTATATTTTCGTAAATGGAGCACCAAACTCCTCATGTTTGTCAGATTGACGCGCAAATTTGCACAGCGTACAAAATTGAGCATAGAGTAACGTAATTGTGTTCGATCTATTGAATCTGTTGAATATACCCATAGTTGTGAAGCGGTCCCATCTCACATCACGACTTTCCTCACTGGTTATTATTATTATTAGTATTATTTATTTTTTTTTTTTAGGTTTGGAACACTTTTCTATAACTATTAAAAAATCAAACGCAATTGCTAATGAAAAAATCATTTGAAAAAAAAAATGAAAGAACGGAAGACTTTTTATCCGACCTCGTATTTGATATATACAAGGGAGTATATATCCAAAATGATGTAGGGTATCATATAGTCGTCACCGCCCGACTTTGTTCCTTTGTCTACGGGTTTGATCGTTTGAATGACGTTGACCAATGAGTCTAGACTAAAGTTGACACGTTATTTTTAATAAATATTTAAATTCAAAAACACAACAGAGCCAGCCAACAAGTCTAGTTTAATACTAGTATTTTTTTCTAATTGATACAATTGAATATTGTTTCCTTTAAACGCACGCCGTCCAAAGTTCAAATAATTCTAGAAAAATATTTCGATCTGTGCCAAAAAAACTAACAACAAACCTTCAAAATTTGCAAATTGTTTGTATTTTTGTGTGGTATTAAAAAATATTCAAATTTTCTTCGGTTTTCTAAGGCCATCAATTTAAAAAAAGACAGGTTACTGAACTGTCTGTCGACAATAGTTTGTTTTGTTTTTTTTTATGACTCAAGTTTTACGATTTTTTCCCATCAACTCATGATGACAATTATTTTTTTTCCGTTTCGAATAAACAAAACCGAAAGTCATCGGAAGATCCCTAAAAACCACAGCATTGCGAATTACCGTAAAAGAAAACGATAAATAGCCAAACTATTACAAAAAACCAAATCCCTAATGTAATTTTGTTTTAATTTTTGGAATTTTTATAAATGCTTTTATTTATATTTACATATGTGGACCATTTTTGTTATTATTATTTCACCTCGTTGGCTACCATGCGGTCGATGATGAGCAATAACATGCCGAACGCATGCTGAAATTCCAGTTTGATTTCAAATTAATTTTGTTTTCTTTGGCTTTATGCTTTTCTATGTTTTTATATGCTAATGTAATCGCCACTATAAGCATACACCACACACCACAAGAAAAAAACCCCATATTCACATATTTTTTTTTCTTTGCTTTTTGCCATATCCGTTGCATATTTCAAATATATATTCAATATATTATATATTGTACTGTCTTATGTTATGCTTAGTTTAACACAAAGTGAGCTCGGTTAAACATCCGTAGTTTTTTTCTGATCGATAGATAATAATAAATATAAATTATACAAATTTCGGAATAACATTAAAAAAGGACTTTGCAAAAATATTAATTAATAGGACTGACACACAAAACGAAAATAAGTCCATACAAGATTTTAATAATAAAAGTGGTTTTTATAAAAAAAATTGTGATAATATAAGTGCTAGTTTCAACGAATTTAATAAATTCGAAATAAATTAATAATTCAGAGTATGGTGGCTGCACAAGATTTAGTTAACCGATTGTATATTATATTGCCATTGGTGTATCCATATAATACACCACAAAAAGGTAAATTCAATAAATCATAAAAAACTAATTATAACACCAATAAATTTAAAGGACAAAGGAAGAACTTTTCAGTTGAATAATTTGAATTTTTCAAAAAAAAAAAATCATCCCTTATGATACTACTTTTGAACTATACGGACGGGGCTGAACGTATGATACCTTACACAACTAACAATGCCGATTATATGTCAACAGCTCTTCTGCGACATCATTTCATCCGCTAAATATTGAGTTTCATTATCGTGACAGTAATCCGAACTAGTTGGTCCGATGGTCTTCCCCGTGGAAAACCAGTAAGGAAAGTAGTAAAGTCGGACTGGGCCGACTATATGATACCCTTCACCACTTTGGCCATATTCTACATATGTATCCTAAAAGATGTCGCCTTTTCGAAGGAACATTGTGGTCTTTATCTATCTCTAAACCGACTAACATCAATCCCTACACATGTCATTCTGCAACCTATGCAACCTATGGGGGGACCCCCCATTCTCGGGGTCAAATTTTTATTCGATTCTACACTAATTCAGGAATATCCCTACAGAATTTCAAGTGAAAATCTCAAGAACTCTTGAAAATATAGCCGATTTATTGTGTCAGCATCAAGTGACGGCTAAAGGGCTTCTCAAACTTTAAACGCGTTTTTCTCTTTGGCGAATGGCGGACACGATAACTCAAAAACTAATAACCCAATCGATTCCAAATTTTTACACGTTTCTCTGTGAGTGTATAGCTATCGTATGAACTAGGATAAAGCCAATCGGTGAAGATCTTCCGTATTTTTTAACTTCGTGTTTGGTCAAAAATCGGCGATTTTCCAAACATATTTTTTCAAAGGTCCGCCATTTTGTTATTTTTAGAGCGAAGTCAATAATCCTAGTTCATACGAGAGCCAGACATGTACTCTTTCTAACACCGTTGGAATTTTCAGATTCCGATGTTCCAGTGAGGAGTTATCATGCCCGCCATCAAAAATAAGGACTTTTTTATTACAAAAAACAACAACAAAACACTAACAAAAATTTTTTGTAAATTATTTTTCTTCTCTTTTAAATCTTCAAATATATATGTGCAAAGTTACAAACCTTAACAAGCATTGGTATTGATTCACCAGCCCATTGAAAATCTTGAAAAATTAAAATCGAGAATGGGTGGGGTTCCCTTAAAGATAACTTGACACAATCTATTCGGTATGCTGCACTGTTTAAAATTTAATCTCAATCAAGAACCCATTGATTATTTGGTCTACAATAAACATGAATAAGTCGAAATTAGATATCTATAGCTGAACCGATTTCAAAGAAACTTGCAGAGATTAATTTATATTAACTTCAATACGTTGTGTCAATCGGCTTAACTATGCATCTTTATATAGGAGGTGTATGTAAATCTGAACCGATTTTCACGAAACTTTGCACAATTCATTCTATACTTAATTCAGTACGCTATACAAAAATCGAAAAATAAAGGGAGCTTTGGTGCGGCATTTACATAAAATGGGACGAAATTATATATTATATGGGAGCTATATCTCAATCTGAACCGATTTTCACGAAACTTAGCACACGTCATTCTAGACTTAATTTAGTAGGCTATGCCAAAATTCGTGCAAATCTAATGGTTTTCAGGGACTTTGGGGCACCATTTACCTATATGGGAGCTATATCTCAATCTGAACCGATTTTCACGAAACTTAGCACACGCCATTCTAGACTTAATTTAGTAGGCTATGCCAAAATTCGTGCAAATCTAATGGTTTTCAGGGACTTTGGGGCACAATTTACCTAAAATCGGGCGATACTATATATGGGAGCTATATCTAAATCGGAACCGATTTTCACGAACTTTAGCACACATCATTGTGTACTGAATAACGTCTATTCAGTACGCTATGCCAAAATTCGTGAAAATCGAATGATTTTCAGGGACTTTGGTGCACCATTTACCTAAAATCGAATGAAAATATATATGGGAGCTATACCTAAATCTGAACCGATTTTCTCCAATTTCAATAGGGTTCGTCCTTGGGCCAAACAAATGGCCTGTGCCAAATTTCATCCAATTCGGATCATAAATGCGACCTGTACTTTGCTCACAAAAATACATGGACGGACAGACGGTTTAAATTCAAAATCTGAGTCTGTTGTTTTCAAATAGTTTAAATGTTAAATTCAATTTTATTTTTTAATCAGGTGATCAACTTTCTTTAAACTTCAAGAAGAGTGCTTTGACGTTTTGTGTTGTGATGGGACTTCGTCGATTAATTATCGAGATCGATTTCATGGTTTGCGCTATAGTTCTGACATTTGGTTCTGATCGTTGAAATTAGATACTAAACAAATTAAAACTTATTGTTCAGACACTACTTACAAAAATTATTCTTAAAAGACAACCCTTAGTGTTCTGATACATATTGAACATATATTCTTAAAAAAAAAAATCCACGCATTGCTAAAAATATATATTAAAATACTCCTTCTTAAATTCTGTCCAGTCGAACATTTTATAACGTCTGTCCACCAAATGGATCCAGACGTTTGTGAATCCTATTGAAATCGGAGATAATCGGTTCAAATTTAGATATAGCTACCACATATATTTTCGATTGACACAAAATTTTGCACAACGTACTGAAGTTAGTGTAGTCTAACGTGTGACAACCTTTGTTGAAATCGGTTCAGATTTAGATATAGCTTTTATATATATTTTCGTCTGATTTTAAGATTAGATTATGATCAGTCAATATTCCGAGGTCAAATCAACCAAAACCTAAAGTGACCAAATTTGTATTTTATGGCGTAAAAAATCACTTCGGGAAACCAAGATGTGGAAAATATGCTAAGATTAGAAAGTGGAGCTGTTGCCCTAAAATCGCGAGCAAATCGGGTGCAAATATCGCGAAATATTTCCCAGGCTCAGAATATAGAACCGCAGAAAGTTAGATTTTCGTGGTAGTTGTGTGGTGTATCATATGGTCGGCGCCGTCCAACTATACTGCTCCGCTCACTGATTTAATTTATATTTTATTGACCAGAAATTCGATGTGCCAAATTATAGCCACTTCCATGAGAAAATTCGATTTAAAAATGTATCATACCGTAAAAGAAGCGGAACCTTTATGAGGTCGTATATTAAAACTTGGACCTAAATGTACACCACACAAATTTATATATAAGACAGCCATACAGAATCTTTTATACCTAATAATATCCCCATCGATTGGAAAATGCGTCTTCAAATGGCTGAAAATGAAATGCTACCGTTCTATGTGAGTTATACCAAACCGTAAACTTCAATGTTTATATGATATTAAGTTAATATTTTATTATTAAATATTTTTTGTTTAAAACAAACATTCAATAACTTTGTTTTATGTAAATATATATTCATTGAATAAAGAGTAGGTTATAAGACAAGACAGCTGCTACATTTCTGTTATTGATCTTTATACAATAACAGATGTCTTGTAATTATGCGGAACTACACGTGTTTGTAAAATAAATAAAAACAATGTTAATTTTATAATTAAATAGGATATTCAACAGAATATTTTGTTGTCCAAAATTTCGTGACAATCTGATAAACATGAGGATTTCGGTACACAATTTTTCAGAGCTATAACTAAATACGAATCTATGGAAGTTTGGTGCACCATTTACATAAAATCGGATGGAATTCTATATCTAAATCTGAACCGACATCAAACTTCGCAATTTTGTCACAATCGGACAAACATTGAGAGTTTGGTGCAACATTTACATCAAATCGGACGAAAATATATGTGGATGCTATATATAAATAGGAATCGTGAGTAAGTGAGCTGTGCCAAATTTAATCTTATTCGTATCGTAAACGCGACCTGTACTTTGTTTACAATATAACAACAACAGGCGGACAGACGGGTGAACATGCACAAATTGAATCAAAATGAATTTTCTTTTACTGGTATTGGACTATTACTTCTCAGAAATAATAATGTTGTGCATGCTTCAAATTTTTTTCATAGCCAATTTCTGATCGCTGCACTATGGCTGAAATCGCGATTTTAGCGGCATAAAATATATATTCCGACAAGCTAGCTTCACCAAATTTGGAATGTAGAATTCTAATGTTAGAAAAAGTGATTTATGAAAAAATGGGCGGACAACGCCCCCAGCTTGTCGGATATGGAACAAGTCTAGTTTAGTAAAAACGATCAGAATTTTTTTCCAGAGGTAGGTATTTTTAACCTAATTATGGGGATATATTTTTTTCTTGGGGGACGTACCCTGTTATTTGACCTGGTTGTTTCGGTACGGGTACCCGCTTATATCCGGTTCTACGGATCCGGTTAATATAAGATGACTATCATTTTAAAGTTTATGAAAATACCTTTCCATTGAGTGGGGATGGGTTTATCTCAAAACGTATTGAGAATACATTATAAAAAAAATCTATTTTGGAACCCGATTTTTTGAAAAACTCCCTAAAAATCGAACTTGGGTCCATTATGGTCTCTCTCCAATCCAGACTCAAATGATTGACTAAAATTTTTTCCAATGATGCAATATGTAGCTGTTGTGAATCAAAAGATATGGGCCTTAGAACCCTATAAGAACAAGGGGGTTTTTTTACATGACAGAATCTCCTTTTAAGTAGAATGTTGTAGAGTTAAGCCTTGGATATTTTGGCGATGTTGGACTCGCTTTTCAACCGAATTGGCTGTAATTTGGTATTTTGGATTCTCATACCTACCAAAAATTATAAATATTGGACTAGTTTTTCCGGTAGCCGCCATATTCGGGATTTTTGGAATTTTGTGCACGATTTTTACACAAATTGGCTGTCTTTATGTATTTTAGGTTCTAATATGGTAGCAAATCTTTCTACCAAAAACTATCGATATTGGTCAAATTTTAAAAGTAGCCCCGATATAATGGTACCTCCGAAATTTCGGTATTCAGTGTAGTTATGCACGATTTTCAACAAAGTTGGCCGTAATTTTAAATGTTGGATTTGCATACTTGTGGCGATATCAGCCAAATCTTCCTGCCAAACATAATCAATATTGGCCTACCTTTATGTTATAACCGCTATATAAAGATCCGGCCCAAATTACACTTTAACACACTTTATAAAATCCAATTGGAGGCTATTAAAACTTAACCCTGTCAAATTTCATATATTTTTATACCCTGCTGTATGATGTGCCTCATCGAAAAATTGATTTAAGACCCCATGTTTCTTTGGATCAAATCCGGTTCAAACCAATTTCATCCAAACATTGCATATCGTAATATTTATTCTAAACTTAGTTTAAGTTCGAAGATGGTCCACTCCTTCTAGAACACCTCCCACACAAAATGGTCTACATATTGCTGCAATTTAATTTTGTAATATTCTGAGAGTATCATGGTCCCCTTCTTCTGATACCTAATATACTAAAAAATTTAATTTGAAGCGAATAATAAAATCTGTTGGTAAATCCGACGACCTCTGCAAACCATAGGCTGAGGATATATACATATTTTTCTATTTTTTCATAAACTAATCGATTTAAACAATGTTGCCAGATCTACAACTATTTAAACCCCATCGATTTATTTGAAGACCTACAATCAAGCGTATGATATAAGGGCGAAAGCGTAAGGTTGTACGCAGATTTTCTTTTTTGGCATACAGTATGTGTAAACTCGTATTTTTGAAATGTTCAGTTTTCATTTAAAAAACAATTTTTTAGCAAAAAATAAATTTTTGTATCGGAGCGGAAATGTTTAGGTCACTGTTGGTTGTGTAGGGTATACTATTGAAGGCGCCGTTTGTCTATTCTGCCCCTCTAACTGGTCATTCTTTATTTGGCATATATTTTTTCTCCGAATAAACAAAGTCCGATGCGGACATCAAGCACGTGATTTAGATCTGCAGACAGTTAAAGCACAGAACTAGTTATCTAGGGTATCAAATGACCGGTCCGTTTGACTAAACTTCTACGCTAACCGGTTTATAATGTTTTATACAAGCAAATACGGTCAGGGTCAGAAAAATGCAATCGGAAGTTTTTATATGTCTAATGATTGAAATTCACAACAAATCCGTCTAAATAATTATCCAGAAACGAGATGTCGCTGAAATGCCTATTTATAACCAAACCACACTATGGATACAGGGTATTAAGTTTTTATATTTGTTAATAAATCACAACTAATTAAGTGATTAATTAAATGAAATATTAGCGTCTCCATTGAGTATTGTCTAGGTTAGTTCTATATCTATTCATTTAACATCTCGTGTTAACACAAATATGCTAATATTTATTTTCAAATATACAATAACAAAAAAAGAAATATTAATATTCATAATTATGACATCACAATGAATGTCGACTCCGACTAGCTACCAGTTCTTTAGCTTATGAATAAAACACCCATTCTAAGACAAAAAAAAATATTTTTATTTTTTTCAGCTCTCACACCTGCTACCGACTGGACCTACGACAATGCACCCAATTGGTCGATAGATCATCCAAATTGTGGCGGTAATCGTCAATCGCCAATACACATTAAGACATCTACGGTAAGTGAATTGAGTTGTCAAAAAACGAAACATGGACAAGTTCAAATATTTGAATGTTAATTTTCGAGTACATTCCTCTTTTGTTGTTGTTTTTGTTGTTGAATTCAAAATTTTATTTGTTTACGATATTTAATTTAATTTGTCGTCTGATTAAGCTTTTGTTTTGGTTTCATCTTTCCCTCTCAATCTACCCGAACAAGGTTAGTAGGTTGATCGGAGCAGAAAAAAAGTTTTTTTTTTTGTTTATTTTTGTTAGGCATAACAAAAATAATCTCGGCAATTTTAGCGGGCGAATTCGATAATGTCAAGTGGTGAGCAAAGCAAATAAACAGTTAATTAAAATTTGTCAAACTCAAATTTCCACTGCTTCACTTTAGAGGTATTTTGAAGATGTTAAGATATAGACGTTAGAGTCATAGTTTTTTTTTTCAAATTAAAAATTCACCTCAGGTTGTGTTGCCACAACAAACAATTGAAAATTTTCCACTTTTACATCGATTTTTCAATGGAAGATCGTATGAAGATTTATCTTCATAGAAAACAGAAAAACCGATCCAATAAAACATTTATCGGATGACATGAAAAATTGCCGTCAAACACTAACGGTTTTTGTGTGGTGTAATGCCCCTTCATTTTAAATGATTGAACTGTTTTGAGCTGTCGAATGGCTAACGCCGATATATCAACAGAACGTGTCAACATTAATGAGAATAATCTATTCAATGTAAATCAAGTGTTTTCTTTAATGTTTTACAAAATCACGTACAAAATTTCCCCTGAAGAGATTTTTATCGCGTCAAAAGGCCTAGTTTTAGGCATGAAATATATCATTCTAAGAGATTACCATTTGAATGTTAATTTGATGTAAAATAGAACTCATTGTTCTTAATATAGTGTAGAAATTCTCAATGAAGTACCATACACAAACAATTAAAACATACTTACATTTGTTCCATTATCCGTGCTTAAAAAGATTTCATAGTGCGCCGATCTTGTACGCAGCTCTTTCAATTTGAAATACCATTTTTCTAAATGTTATTTTCCACTTGATCTTTCCATCCTCGTTTTCATTCTCACAACATGAAATTGCCACCATAGTCGCTGCAGCTCGTTACTTCTGAGTATGTCGATGTTCGAGAATAGATGGTACAACTCACCGTCGACGCAGATCAGCTTGTTGATCTTTTGGAGAATCTTTCTCTCAAACACTCCAAGAGCTGTCTCATCTGATTGCGCAAGTACTAGAGTTCTAGTTCACTTAGCGGAACGATCTTTATCGATCCTTTTTTTAAAAAGGAACTAGTTCCTTTGCTCCATATAGTTCCTTTACTCCATACAGTTCCTTTGCCCCATATAGGTCCGACTCCTACATAGTTCCTTTGAATCTCTCTCTTGTTCTTTTTGTTTTTTTTTTAGTTTTTTCCATATAGTGCCTTTGCTCCATACAGTTCCTTTGCTCCATATAGTTCCTTTGCTCCATATAGTTACTTTACTCCATACAGTTCCTTTGCTCTTTATAGTTCCTTTGTTCCATATAGTTCCGACTCCTACATAGTTCCTTTGAATCTCTCTCTTTCATCGTTCTTTTTGTTTTTTCCATATAGTTCCTTTGATCCATATAATACCTTTGCTCCAAATAGTTCCTTTGCTACATACAGTTCCAACTACTACATAGTTCCTTTGAATCTCTTTCTTTCATCGTTCTTTTTTTCGTTTTTTCCATATATAGTTCCTTTGCTCCATATAGTTCCGATTCCTACATAGTTCCTTTGAATCTCTCTTTCATCGTTCTTTTTGTTTTTTTTTTTTTGCCCACATAGTTCCGTGTTGATTTGTTAATAAATTCAATAATTGAAAATTGTGCAAAAATGAAAAAAAAAAAATGAAATGAAGCTACATAATTCAAGTGCAGGACGATAAGCACAAACTACATTTTTTATAAATAGATAAAAATATTTAAAACAAAAAAATTAAAATTTAACTATTTGAAATACGAACGAATGAAGAATAAAGGAACGAGATCAGAAAAAAGAATGAGAAAAAAAGGAAACGAAAAAAGAACGAGATCAGAAAAAGGAACTATATTAATTATAGAGCTGGAACTAGTTCCGATCGTTCCTTTCTCGGAATAGTTCCAATGAACTAGTTCGTTCCGGAACTACCCAACTCTAGCAAGTACCCATGCTTCTGATCTATACCCAGCAAAGTATAAGGATCTTGTAGAGTTTGAAATAGGTCTGGGGAGAAGTGGTCTGGTTTCTAAATTGCTTACATTGGCCATACAGTAGTTTTCGCTTATAGTCCATTTCGCTTAAAGGCCAAAAACGGATATAAGCGAAAAAAGTACTATTTACTGACATTTTTCTTCCAAATTCATACAAATTATTTGTTCTATAGTCCACTTCGCCTATAGTCCATTTTCGTTTATAGGCCACATTTTCTGTGCATACAAAACTAATATTGCATAGAAAAAATTTTCATATAAGCCACCCTGTTTTTTGAACTTGAATGACATTTGGATTTCTGGCACCTGTTTTTTGAAATTTTCATATAGGCCACCCAGTTTTTTGAACTTGAATGGCATTTGGATTTCTGGCAACATTTATAAATGTCAAAAATTGCTAGATTCATAGAAGTTGTGAAAATGGGTACGCGCGTTACATTGAGTGTGGAGAAAAAATTAAAATTATTGAAAGACTATAAAGAAAATAATATAAAATGAAAATAATATGAAAAAAATAATAAGTTATTGTTTAAACAATTTATTTATTTTAAATAAATATATGAATTTGTTTTAATAAACTTAAATTTTATTTAGAAAAGTACATGTTTTGTGTATAGTCCATGACGTGTATTATATCACGATTCAGTTATAATCCAGTAATGGACTTAAAACGAAATTCGGATATAGTCCAAATTCGCTTATAGTCCACAAAAGTTGTGCAACTATAGTTGTGGACTATAAACGAAAACTACTGTAGTAGCATTTATTGGTATTGTTTTTGGCGGTACCAAGGTATATAAAATCTTTAACTACCTCGAAGCTGTAGTTCTCAAGTTCCACAGTTGGTCCGAGTCTACTGGACGTCTTGCACGTTGATACCATCAGCTTGGTCTTCTTGCCATTTACTGTCAGTCCCACTTTGGCAGACTCCTTAGCAATTCGTTCAAGGGTGGCTGTTACCGCTCGCAATTATATTCATTATATCATTGGCGTAGAGCTCGAGTAATGTATACTATTTGGTGTATAGAGTGCCATTTCGCTTCCCATTTGCATCTCGTATAACCTTTTCCAGAAGGACAGGACAAACTGTCACCTTGTTTGAATCCTAGTTCGGTATTTAGGGGTTCCGAGAGGTAATTTCCGACTTTAACTGCTGACCTTGTGCCACTTAAAGTTTTTTCCTGCATAGCCTACGTGCTTGCCGAACGCAGACATGGCTTTTAACACCTCTGAACGGATAAGTCTGTCGAATGTATTCGTTAGGTATCAGTAATAACACGACAAGGATCGGTGTTCTTCATTTGTATAAGTTATACAAACCGACTAAATAATTATACAAATCCGAGATGTCGCTGAAATGTGTCAATGAAATGCCTATTTATACCTTGACTATTATGATTTTATATTTGGTCATAAGTCGCCACTAATTTAGTGGTTAAAAATGAAATATGAGCGTTTTCATTGAGTAGTGTCTAGGTTTTGTTTAACACCTTATGTTAATATGCTAATATTTTTTAAATATACAACAACAAAATTAATATTCATAATTATCCTAATACCGACACATATAATTTCGAACTACGACATATACTACATTTATCCTGAGATTTATATTGTGAAAAAAATATCTATATATTTTGATTTCCAGACTAAACATAAGCCCTATGGAAGGTAATCATGTCATTGTTTTTATTTTAGCTAAGTAGATGATTGATCTGCTATTATATTGTCCTGAATTATGGAGCAACGCCTCCTTGAATTTTGTGCATTTGTTGTGGTCCTTGCTTATTTAGTGTTGTCTTTTTTGTGGGTGGCGCCCTCTTCTGCCAGCTAGATGATTGATTTGCTATATGGTGGCGCTGCCATCTATCGTTGATTAGAAGTAACGCCTTCTTGAATTTTGTGCATTGGTAGGGGCCCTTGCTAAATTTGTGTTGCCATTTTCATTTGGTTGGCATTATCTCTTATCAAATTTAATATACGCTCCAAGTAATAGTACATGCAGCTTGGGTACCGAAATGACCTTTCCGAAAAAAATATGCTTAAAATTCACGCCTTATATATATATATATATATATATATATTTTTTTTTTTTTTTTTTTTTGCTCTATGCTACAAATCGTCGCCATCTTACTCGATTAGTCCTTGTGTGTTAGATGTTTGGTCTGATGATGCGGCTGTCATCTATGGTTGCCTAGAAACAATGCCTCCTTGAATTATGTCCTGTTGTTAGGGCCCTTGATAATTTGGTGTTGCTATTTTCCTCAGGATGGCGATATCTCCTGCCAAATTTAATATAAGCTCCACATAATAGTATATACAACTAAAGGACCATACACGAAAAAAGCAATTAGGCTTAAAATCCACGACTTAGATAGCCTTTGAAAACATTTTTTTTAAAAATGCCCGTTGTATATTTTTTCTGTTACTCCCATAGGGCTACCACAAAGCATTGGCATCTTACTCGATTAGTACTTGTGTTAGTTGATTAGACGATGTAGTGGTCTAATGTAGTCCTAGATATTGCGGCTGCCCTCTATCGTTGCCTAGAATCAATGCCTCCTTGAATTTTGTTAAGTGGTTGGGGTCCCTACTTGCTGTTACCATAGTGTTACCGGCGTTATGCTACCACTTCTTCGTTTTTAGTTATGCTTGGTACAAGGTAGTGCGACAGCGGACACAGCCACAAGTCAATTTCAGTCCAGCACTTGACAACCTCTACCGATGAAAACTGAAAGACTTATCTATACGACAACACAAAGTGAATGAGAATTACTGTCCCATATTTTTTCATAGACTTTCTTTAAAGTCCATTTGTCTAGTTAATATTGTTGCAAAGTGCATTTGTTACTTAAATGTTGGTATCCTAGTATTATATAAATGAGGTGTATATATTTTCTAACAATTACTAGCAGTACCATCCTGGTTCCGTAGAGACCCCATCACGATTATGGCTATTTTATGGTGCTAGGCCCATTTTTCAACCAAGGCGTAGATTGTCATTCGTGTTCTTGGTGTGTAAAAAACTTATTCCGGTCTTGTAAAATACCACTTGTCAGAACTTGTTTCATATTGGAAAAAATCTTCGAAATTTTATATCGAGAATATGGTGGTCCCCAAAGTACCATCATTAGGTAGAGCGTATTTTAAAGTTGTCAGTAAATGGCGCCGATCAGCGGAAAACGGCAACACTTAATAAGCAAGGACCCTAACCATTGTACAAAATTCATACTGGCGTTATTTCTATACAATGATAGATGGTTGCTCCAGATACAAGGGTAGGCTACAGTAGATCAATCATTTACTTAGTGAGCATATAAATATGTATGAACGGAGATAAGCTCGGTCGGGTCGAACATTTTGTGCACCTCACATTCAAAATACCTATAACCATCAAGGAAAAAAAACGAAATACTAAACTACAGGTACTCAGGATGGGTTAGGACCATAAACATACCGAACATTATGATTAAATGTTGGAAATGTTGAGCGCCTTTTTCAAAATAGATAGCATTCCGGTTCTTTTGTTGAGTCCATTTTAAATTATAGGGAGGAATTTTGGAGAATAAAATATCTGTTGTCAGCACTTGTTAAATATTGAACAATATTTTGACTTAGGCCCACATAAAAGCCCGCAAAACAAAGTGACTTTGGTTTCCATCCAGATAAATATTGAGATCACATGCGGAAGAACCGAATCTGATGTCTTTTGTCTTGAAAGCATTAAAAGTCAAGAAATTACCCATGGCCTAAAATGAGAAATGGAACGGAAACGGACCGTCATAAATGTAACCACTAACATCCATAATGTTTTAATCCTTCATGATATGTTCACACACTTTGGACAAGACAGGAAAAATAGATATGGACCTGAGATCATCTGGACCATTAACAACATTTCCTTTTGGTATTAGAACTACTCGAGCTTGTTTCCGCAGTTGGGGAAAAGCAGAGAACACTAATATAGAATTTATAAAATATAAAACATAATCGGAAATATATGGAAAAATTGTTTTCAAAAAATCTACAGGCGCCCACCTCATCAATTCCAATAGATTTCAACTTAGTTTTATTAAGAGTAGAAATGACGTCATCAGTATTGATGCAGCTAAAAAGAAACCCCATTATGAGAAACATTGATATCTGGAAAGTCAATACTAGCCATATGCGGATTCCAACATAGAAACGACAAGTTATGAGCATCACAATCAAAAAGTGTAATTGAAACCAAAGCAATGATTTTTTTGGAAAAAATTTTTCTACGCTCATGTTGTATAACTGATTCGCTTTATTCCGAAACCTACAATAAACTTTCCAATTATCGTTACATTTCTGTTTTGAACATTTACTTTCAAAACAATTTTTTCTCTTTCGAATCGAACTTAATGATCGGCTGGTTTTTCCGACTTAAAATCTTTCAATGATCATCGCCCTTACTCAAATAAAAATTAACTTTCAATATAATAATTTTTTTCTGTGGAACTCGGGGAATTTTTGCCGTATGTGTCATCTAATAAGTGGAATTCCCCCTCAACATAACTAGCATATGGTGTTAGAGGTTAACTTGACGTGTATTATTATTATTTTTTTTTTGTGTAATTTTCACACAGTTATGTCAATCTGTCTGTAATGGCCCCCTGGCACAATTGTTAAATATACCAATAAATTATAAATCATGACATTAATAAACATCAAATTGTTGTTGTTTTTATTGTTTGTCTTTTAGTGTTATGCTCCAGCAATGCCTTCACTGAAATTCGGCTACTATGACTTACCATTGGCGGGGAATATAACCTTAAGAAATAATGGACATTCAGGTGAGTGGGTCATTTGCATTTGATGCGATGCGGTGTGATGACATTTTATTAATTTTTATTTTGTTGTTTTTGGTTTTGTTTGGTTCGTTGGATGCAGTTGAATTCGAAATACCACCAACGGTGAATGGTGTCCGACCCTTTGTCAGCGGTGGTGTTCTAAAAAGTAAATACGAAGCTGTTGCTGTGCATTTCCATTGGGGCAGCAGAAATTCAAAGGGTTCCGAACATATGATAGACAATCGACGCTTTGATGTGGAGATGCATATCGTTCATAAAAATGTCATTTATGCGACAGTGGCAGAGGCCTCTAAACATGTGGATGGTTTGACGGTGTTGGCTGTTATGTTCAAAGCGACGAGGGTAAGTGATTTGTTGAATACAAATTTAGATACATTTTCTATCATTTATAATAATTTTCTCTAGGATGTTGATCGCATTTATCCCGGCTTGAATATGTTATTCAATAGATTACCCAATTTGGTGTACATGAATTCCCATTCCACCCTATCCGAAGATCACCTCACATTGGGCCACTTTCTGGGTGATTTGAACACGAAGACATTTTTCACCTATACTGGTTCATTGACAACACCCGATTGTGCTGAAGCTGTAACATGGCACGTGTTCCCCGAACCTTTACCAATTGCCTATGAACATATTGAGAAATTTTGGCAAATTCGTGATGCCCATGGCCACAAAATGAACAACAATTTCCGACCATTACAAGAAAATAATGGTCGAGTGATACTCTATCGTAGCGGAAGTTATTAATTCAAAAGTATTTAGTTGTTGATATTTACTACGATAAAATACTGTGTATTTTATGTGAAATTATTTTAAAATATTTATTATGATACTCATTTTATTCATTGTATAGATAACCAGGTTACATTAATTTTCATTTTGTAAATAATTTTCAAAAATAAATAATTTTTTATATAATAAAAATTAATAAAAGTAATACAATTAAGAACTTTTTACTTTGAAGAGAATCTAGAATGATTACAGTCGATATAATATACCGGGCTATACGTAGCTACTACAAAATGCCTGCCAATATAATTCAAACCTATAAATCCTCAAGTTAACCAAGTTATTTTCTTCTCCTCCAAAAGAGAAGTTTGATGTCCTCACAATGATGTATGGCCTTTTGCCAGTCGGTCCACAAGTTGCATTTTTACATCATTAGGTAGAGTGTATATAAAATCTGGCTGAAAATTCCGCCGCCCAGCGATAAATGGCAACACTAAATAAGCAAGGACATCAACCATTATACAAAATTCATGTTGGCGTTGTTTCTAGACATTGATAGATGGCAGCCCCATCTAGGAGAGGCTACAGCAGATCAATAACCTACTTAGGGATCATAAAAATAGACAAGAACGTCATTACGATCGACCGGGCTATACCGATATTGCATTGTCTTTTGCCAGTCGGTTGCAAATCTTCAAAATTTTAAATCGAGAATAAGTCCAACAGTTACATATTATAGAAGCTTTCATTATAACTTACATCATTAGCAAGTAAATGGCGCCGCCCAGTGGAAAAGCAAGGGCATCAACCATTGTACAAAGGTCATGGTGGCCTTGTATCTAGACAACGATAGATAGCAACCCCTATCTACTAGGGCAGGCTACAGCAGACCAATCATCTACTTAGGTAGAATAAAAATAGCAAGAACGTCATTAAGCTCGACCGGGCCGAACTTTTTGTTTCCTTCACCATAAGGTGGACATTCCAAACCGAAAACGATCATGGAAAAAAAACCATAGACTCAGGTTGGATTAGGACCTTAAACATACCGGAAATGTTATGTAACGGTTGGAAAACTTGTCTGACTTCCTTAAAGTACCGAATAGTTGGATTACCGTTAAATGGAGGCTATATCAAAATGGGGACCGATATTGCATGGACTTTTGTCAGTCGGTTGCAAATCTTCGAATTTGCATTTTATAGAAGCTATCATTATACCTTACATCATTAGGAAGAGTGTATATTAAATTTGGCTGGAAATGGCCCTGTCCAGCGGACAATTACAACACTAAATAAGAAAGGACCTCAACCATTGTACAACATTCATGTTGGCGTTGTCCCTAGACATTGATAGATGGCAGCACCATCGACAGGCTACAACAGAACAATAATCTGCTTAGGGAGCATAAAAATAGACAAGAAAGTCGTTACGATCGGTCGGGCCTAACTGTTTATACCCTCTGCCATATGGTGAACATTCAAAAAACCTAAAACGATCAAGTAGAAAACGAAATACTTAACTAAAGACACTCAGTTTGGGCTAGGACTATGAACATACCGAAAATGACGAGTAAAGGAAAAGTTGTCTGAAATCCTCAAAGCACCAAATAGTTGGATTACCGTTATATGGTGGCTATTCGAAAATGGGGACCGATATTGTATCGTCTTTTGCCAGTCGGTTGCAAATCTTCGCAATTTTAAATCAAGAATAAGATAGTCCCTAAGCTTAATTTTATAGAAGCTATAATTATAACTTACATCATTAGGAAGAACGTATATTAAATTTGACAGGAAATGGCGCCGCTCAGCGGAAACTGGCAACACTATATAACAAGGACATCAATCATTGTACAAATTTCATTATGGCCTTGTTTCTAAACAACGATAGCTAGCAGCTCCATCTACAGCAGACCACTAAAACTAATTGATCAAAATACTAAAATACAGACGCCTAGTTTGGGCTCAAACTCCACAATATACCGAAATTACTGACAATTTTGGTTAAGAAGACGTTGATGACGAAGATGTTATACACTGCGAGATCTCTCTATTGAAAATACGTAAAATAATCCCAAAACACCGAAAACTCGGACGGATACATCCCATTTCCGAACATCCTAGGAGAAGTAGCAATATATGTATATAATCTCTTAAATCTTAAATGTTGTAAGCTTTAACGTGATTTTAGCAGACACACAAGGCAAAATAGTAAAAATAGATATTTCAAAAAATTTTAAAATGTGTACTGGACGGAAATATCTCACTAATATATCTGAGATCACATAAGAAATACTAGTTCACTAAAGTATTTGCGGAACAATAACATAATAATGTTATTCCATTTATTAAAACATTTAAAAATGTAACTAGCAGGAAAAGTGATTACAGAACCATTACCCGATTTTTATACTCTCTAACATAAGGTCGAGCGTATATTACATTTTTCAGAAGCTGGCGCCACCCAGGCGAAAATGGCAACACTAAATAAGCAAGGATCGTAACCACTGCACTGCAAATTCAAGGTAATATTGTTTCTAGGCAACGATAGATGGCAGCCACAACACATAGAATAAATTACAGCAGACCAATCATTCATTTAGCTGGAATAAATCAATGATTAACGAAGTTAAGACAAGAACTATAAAAATATTAAATTTGAAATATTGTATTTGGCACTTATATCGAAATAATTTGGAAAATGCATATGCGAATTTTTAGCATCAATGTAGAGGTCGGTAACAGTATTTGAAATACAGAAACAATGGAATGCAAACCTAACCACAAACGGTTGCAAAACTATCAACCACCAAGTGAGGAGACGGAGAGCGATACCAAAACAAAACATAGCCGAATAACGAATGGTAGTGGGGTTCTTTCTTCGTAGGAATACATTTGTCTTTGTCATAAAAGAGAGAGAAAAATGAGCGCAAATAGTGATAAAGTAGAGCGAATTAGGAAAACATATTTGAAATAGATGAAATGTTTTCATTTTTTGAAAAAAATAGTGGATTTCTCATGATTATAACAATTAGTAAAGTAAATTTCGGGCATTCAACCAAGTATTCAAGCACGTGTTTAATGTATTGTAAAACTAACCATTTTGAATCGATTTGATGACAGAAACCCGGAAATAAGGTGTACGATAAATACCATCAAATTTTTCTGACTATGCAGTTAGCTGTGCCAACAGAATATTGATCAAGGTATCCATCGCATCGGTAATCTACAGAATCTTGGGATTATCAGTTCACTGAAGTTTCGTTTCATTGTCACAATTCTAATCCGCCACGTTATATTTAATTCATATTAATTAGTAGAAGTGAGTAACAAAATTACTGTAGAACATTAAGAAATCAAATCTGTTTCATATATCGTAACTGCATACTGACATGAAATACTTCTTAAATCTAATGTTTTTGAAGTCACGATTTGTCAAAAAAATGTGTTCTATTGACCTAATTTTTATAATATTAAAATTTAATAAAATTCCAAAATCTTATTTATATGCAATCTCTCATAAAATATCTTTAGCAAAGTGACTGACTTTTAATAATCGGCACCTTAAATTCAGAATGCATTAAACTGTACAGCGGTATATTGTAGGAGTTACATTACACACCGGTTTTTTGACATTTTAAATTTGTATAAATTAATTTATGACTTAGTATCGGAGCACGGACCACATTCATTATTTACAAAAAATGTATCCCCATTATTAAGCGTGTACTTAAAAAAGTGATTACTTAATGTTAATTAGACCGCATTTTGGGGCAATATGAATAATGTGCAATTTAATTCCTTACAGACAAATATATCAGTTATTTGTATAGCTTCAAAGCAAAAAGGTCGTGTTGTAAAAGTTCAGTTTAAATTAAATCCGAAATGGTGTTTCTACATAAAATTATATATAATCTATTGCCGTTATTTTTCCCACGACCACCACCAGTTCGGATACCAGGTATATTTATAAAAAAAAAAAATTGGAATATTTACAAACGCTCTATAATAATCGAAACGCTTGGAATCTTAAAATTTTGCATAAATAAAAATATAAAATTAGAATGCCTACGAAAGGATAATGGAAAATTTTTCTAGAAGTCCCACAAAAATATGACTGGAAGTCTACAAATTTGTGAGGTCCATTGTTGGTGTGTAGGATTATGAAATGTAGGTGGATATAAAAATGTGTAATTTAAATGAATGAAAGAAAGGATATATAATATTTAAATTTGGTATTGAACTTGGTACTTTGATTTACGAATAGAGCGTGAATTACAAACGTCAGTATAATGGTCGCTAGTAATTTATTAAGTGGATATAATGAGTTGAATTTGTAAATGTATACTAAAAGAAATCTTCATAGGTAACGAAAACGTCTATTAGGATACCGTTTTATATCTAAACTTAGACTAATATTCGTCGGAAAGCCCATAAAGAAAATCTATATTTGATTACATTAAAATTCTTAGTCTATTTAGGGCTATTCGGTTTTGTACTTTTAAAACCAAAGGGTCAAAAAATGGCCGATCATAACATTTTTTCTATTAATCTATGTTATCCAGCCCCCATTCATCCCATGTATATATATATGAGAAACGACTGAATCTAGAAATTTGGGGTAAAGGTAACTCTTAGTCCAAAAGTTAAGATAAGGCTGGATTTTTAGAAATTCGTGCTAGTACTAAACAAGTGAAAAAAGAGTTAAGTTCGGCCGGGCCGGACTTTAGATATTCTCCACCATAAGTTACTTGAAATGAAAATATAGGGAACATGTCAAAAAGTGGACCTATACCGACAGTTCTACAAACCGATTTATGCGAACCATTATGTACACCAAATACAAATTTCAACGATTTTTAATCGATATTTTTCATAAAATATGAAAACCCTTAAAACGTGGACCGATATTGATTACGCATGGTAGAGTGAAACATGTGTACAAAATCCTGAAACTACTGCAATTAAAAGTGCAAATTTATATGAGGCTATGCCTAAAGGGGACCAATATTGATTACATA